GGTCTTATTTTCGGAGGATGTCTTATTTTCGGGGAAACACGGTAATTACCCAAAAATAATTCACTCACTTAAAAATTACTGAAAAGATGCTCTAGCCAGTTTGGCTCTGTGGATAAAATGTCAGCCTACCCGGAGTGAAGGGTCTAGTGTTTGATTGCGGTCAAGGATATGTACCTTGATCCATGGCCCCTGGATTTGTTCAGGAAGCAACCAATTGATGTATCACTCTCACACTGATGTTTCTCTGTTTCTCCTCCTCTCTTCCCCTCTCTAAAAATCAATGGAAAAATCCTCGGGTGAGGATTAACCAACAAACAAAAATTACTGAGAAGAAACCTTTTTTTTTTTTCCACATAAGTAATACCTATCTGCCTAGAACTATGTTCTTACAGTCTTTACAAAATGTATCTTTGAAACTGGCCATGCTTAGTAATTTCTGAAGGCAGGTGATGGGTAAATGAGGTTCATTATACTATCTTGTCTGCTTTTGTACACGTTTAATAATTCCCATAATAAATTAAGTTAAAAAAGAAAACCCAACAGGATTTTTAGAATAGCAAAACTATTATGTATACTAGAATGGTAGATACATGTTGTTATACATTTTTCGAAACCCATAAAATATGCAACACCAATTGTGAACCCTATATATAACGTGGACTTTAATAATGAGGAATCAATGTGGTTCATCCATTGTAATAAATGCATCACTTTGGGATGTGATAGTCGAGGAAGCTATGAATGTATTTGAGAGAGCAGCGGTATATGGGAGCTCTCTAGTTTCTGCTCAACTTTGCTGTGAGCTCAAAACTGTTCTAAGTAATAAAATTAAGAAAAAAATCCCATAAACAGAAAATACCTGTTTCCTAACAGCCTGCAAACAGAGGATAGTTTACCTAGTATACAGTGATTAGCTCCAAAAACCTGTTCATTAGGAGAGAGGTTTCATTTCAATTCCCCAAATAAATCCATTCCTAACCTTGCCTCCTATGACGATTGTGTAAAAGTAATTTATCCATCCCAGGATTTAGCATATTTCCCCTTCACCATTAGCACAGCTCACACTTCAGTTTGTCAAAATGGATTTTGCATTGTTTTTCTCTACCTTGGTGGACTATAATCTGTCTACATGCTCATGAAAGAATCTTATTTATTGAATCATAGCTTTTCCCCACCTACCTGGGCCACATCCTAAACTTCCTGGCTTGTGGTTTCATTAAGTCTGTGATTCACAAAGCAATCACTCAGCTAATTGAAAAATGCATTTAGTGGACTGGACATTCCCCTCATCTTGCTATTGGACTCAGTTTTTATTAGGTACTGAGCTGACATAGCCCAGTGTAGGTGTCACTTTAAATTTTTGGACAGCTTTTGATTAACCAAGTGACAGGGGCAAATCACAGGGAAACTAAATGAACAAAATAAAGGAAACAGCCAGATTGGGTTTATTCTATTTGCATGTTTTCTTCTCTTGGTTATATAAAGCGTCTCCAAACCTGTATCCGAATTGATTCATTTTCTTTTCTTTTCCCTATGGTTTATTTAAAGGGTCTTTGATGTGGTAATTGGACAAGGTTTTGTTTTGTTTTTCATCTCAAAGCCTGGGTCAACTCTTTGTCATTTTGTTTGGTACTTAATCCTGGAGAGTAATGTTCTGCTCTGGTATGTTGTTTATCACTTCCAGACTATAGGTGTAGCAAATATTTTCCTGATGAAATAATCACTAACTTGACATTCTGCCACTGAGATGATACAGCTAGGCTCTGTAGAGAATCTCCTAGTGTAGTTGTGTGGTCTCAGTATCACCCTGCCTCTAATTTATAAATTGTTCCCTTTAGGTATGTTCTCTCAAAATGTTAGGGCTTTAGATATTACTTGAAATCTTCAATCTCTTTCATAATAGCAAAGTTATGAAACCTCAGCGTTCTACTTCTGTTTTCGTGTTGAAATCCTGGAGGTGTCTTCTGGGCAGCTTCTATATAGTTTTTCCACTCAATTGTTTGGTGAATGAAACATCTAGAAGACACTCCTTTCCAGAATCCCTTCTAGAAACCTAAAACTTTACGTGCTGACTTTGTATAATTCCTTTTGAAGTGGACTCGGGTAGCAGAATTGTGGAGGCCTAACAATCTTGAGGTGGCAGAAACACCTGCAGTTACAGATAATTATAGCTATTGCCATGGCTTTTGGTGTACAGTGCCTATTTGCTAGATCCTTTTTAGATCCTTTTTAGGATGAATCATAATTGCTTTCATAATGAAAATTACCTCTTTACCTTATCCTTGATTAACCTTTGTAATACTTATGGCCCCTTAGTAAGCTTGGTTCTTTCCTCAATACCCTATGTTCAGCCCTTTTAATCATGGCAGGAAAGTTTTCTTTCTGGTAGACAGGTAATAATGGCGCATACATTGCAGCCTCAAATATCTCCCTAGAAACTATTTCAAAACAACTCTATGTTGTGGCACATGCATCCTTACCTTTTCTTATGAACCCAACTCTTTTCCATATATGAGTCAAACCCACCCTTTAAAAGCCAGCTCAGGTACCCCCAACTCCTTCAACATTTGTAGGGTATGCCACGCATTTCAGCATGGAATTGGATCAAAGGCTGTCTAAGTTCCATTTTCTTTTCTGCCCTTCCCCAACACTACCACACATTCAACTGTGAACTGTAATCTAGACAGCGCAGATACACAGTGTGTGATCACTTGCCAGGCATCCAGTTCTTGCTGATTACAGCCTGTCAAAGTGCAGCATTGTTTTGAATTAAAGGGCAAGACTTAGTGAGTGGAATTAAGTAATCTCTAATAGGAAGATCCAAGTTTTATGATTCTAGGAATCTACTTTGGCAATTAATTTTTGTGGAGGCCCTTTTATAAAACTGGGAAATCACATTCAGCAGAGAAGAAAATCACTGGCTACAAATTTAGTAATTGATATGAAATACTGCTGAGTCATCAAGAATTAACCTCTTCCAAGATTATATGGGAATTAATGATGCCACATTGTTGACTAGCATTTTTATTGTTTTGTTTTTTTACACTTAATTTTTTATTTCTTTTGGAGTTTATTCTGGTGGAATACATCAACCCCACTTCCTTTCCTAGATGTCCATCTAGTTGATTTCACGTTATTTATTGACCACTATTTTGAGATGATACCTTCATCATATACTAAATTCCTGGATGTATTTGCATCTGTTTCTATACTTCTCATTCTTTTCCATTGGTCTATTCATGGACAAATACCACACTGTTGGAATTTTGGGGTTATATATTTTAATATTGGGAATATTTCCTCCTTTACTCTTCTTTTGAAGAGTTCATAGCTATGGCTATTTATCGATGTGAATTCTAGAATCAACTTACCTAGGTTAAAAAAAAAATACCAAAACCACTTGGTATTCTTATTAGAATCATGTTAAATTTATATAACTTAGAAATAAAGGAAATCTTTATGATGTCAAGAATATACATATCCAAGAATATCCCAAATGTCTTCCACTTGTTCAAGTCTAGTTTTGTGTTTACCAGGAGTATCTTATAGTTTATTTTATTTTATTTTATTTTTTTAAATATATTTTATTGATTTTTTTATAGAGAGGAAGGGAGAGAGATAGAGAGCTAGAAATGTCGATGAGAGAGAATCATCGACCAGCTGCCTCCTGCACACCCCCCACCGGGGATATGCCCGCAACCAATGTACATGCCCTTGACCAGAATCGAACCTGGGACCTTTCAGTCCGCAGATCGACGTTCTACCACTGAGCCAAACCGGGTTCGGCAGTATCTTATAGTTTAAAGGTTTTGAGACTTTTTAAAGATTAAACCTAAGGCTTTTTAGTTTAGTTTTTTTTTTTGCGATTATATTATTAAATCTCCTAACTTGTGTTTGTTTGTATATATACATGTATCCATGTAACCTTGGAGTGAGGTAGGGTTTTCTATGATTCAAAACACAGAAGTCATGAGATTAATAAATTCAACTACCCCAGAATAAATTTTGCATGCTAAAGACACCATAAGCTAAGGGAAAATTGTAAACTGAAAGGAAATATATGCAACTCATATCACAAATAGCTCCTACAAGTCAATAAGAAAAAAACTCACCCACCCACCAGAAAGCAGGGGTTGGGGGACAAAGGATGCAAATAAATTAGTCTATGAACAGATATACTCAACCTCACTTATAAGTTAATAAAAATTAATACTATACTGAAATACCATTCCTCATGTATCAGATTGGAAATCACATGGCTAATGAAACTATGAAAGAACAGGCACTCATGCATTGCTGATAGAACTGACCAAGGAGGAACTGGTAAAATGCATTATGCTATAGGCCTTACAAGAAAATACTATGCAGCTGTAATAAAAAAAATGAAGACACTCTTCAATTAATCATCTAGAAAGTTCAATTACTGATATAATGTTAAGTAAAAAAAAAAATGCTAGGTGCAGTATGGTATGTAAAACATGCTACCATCCTAAATAATAAAAGCCTAATATGCAAATCGACCGAACGGCGGAACAACCTGCTCGTTATGATGCACACTGACCACCAGGGAGCAGATACTCAACGCAAGAGCTTCCCCCAGCCTGCAGGCCCCAGGTCAGCCAACGTGAGTGCCAGTGGGGGCCTCCCAATCACCCCACCAGTCACCCCACAAAGGTAAGTGACTGGCAGCAGTGGGTGTGGGTGTGGCTGGGGGGCAGGGCTAGTGAGTGGGTGGTGCCAGGCTGGCCAAGGCGGGTGCCAGTGGGGGGACCCTGATGGCCCCACCAGTTGCCCTACAGATTGGTCCTGATCACTGGCCAGGCATAGGGACCCTACCCATGCATGAATTTCATGCATTGGGCCTCTAGCTTTTATACAAAAGCATATAAAATAAGTTTTCCCCCACTATCTGAACGTATTCTCATTTTTATGCTTTTAAGGAACTGCATGAAACCTTTCAAAAGCTGAATTGATGTAAAGCAAAGAAGCAATTACCTTAGGACACATCTTGCTAATGGGTGCAAGATAATAAATCACACATGCTCAGAGGTCAAAGCTATGGCGGCTTGATGCTGACATGCTGAGTATAATTTCCAGGTAAGGAGCTTGTCCACTCTTGCTGCTCCAGATGCATACTGCAAAACAAACATTTAACACTATTTTGGCTTTTTGCTTTTTTTATAAAAGCAAAATCCTTTTCAGATATTTTGGTTAAGGGAAACAAATATTAAGTAATACTTTTGTAAAAGAAGTGGCATAAAGCAAACTGTCCAAAAACAAGGGATACCAGTATATATGTATTTGGATAAAGAAAGAATCGCATGTTTAAACTAATAAAAGTGCTCACTTGTAAGGTAATGAGTGGACAGGGAATGGGGTAGACAGGGATGAAGAGGAGTAACTTTTCACTATACACCTTTTTTGTTTTTAGTTTTTAGTATTTTAGTTTTGAAGCACACGACCATTACTTTTTCAATTATTAAAAATATTAGCTGCTTTGGTAAATTAAAAAATTTAAGATATTTAAGCTCATATGTTTTGCTCATTTTTTTTCTATTTAACCCACAGGAATTAGAAGAGCTAAAACTTTTGAGTTCCTCAGAATAACCCAAATAAAATGTGTAAATCAATGTGAAACTTGTGTTTCCATTTTCTTTTATTTTTTAAGTACCTTATTTTTATTACAATGTGTTATCATATACACACACATGCGTGCACATGCATGTGCACACATACTCATACACACGCATACACACACACACACACACACACACACACACGCAGGATTTAAGATGAACAGAGAAACAAGGATAGCCTCCAAACAGGTTTTTTTACAAAGTTCAAAATAGATTACACTGACATTTATGTGCTTTCCATTCATTACACAATGTATAGACATGATCCATTTAATGATTTATGCTCCCCAAATGGTTAAACCAATCAGGATTTTCTGTGAAAGAGTGTATGTAAAAGCTTTTAGGTTAGACTCAAAGAACTGTTTCTTGCTAAAACCAACCTCAGGCATACATTTTGTGTTTACATATACTCCTTGAAAACTATAGTAGCAGTGCGCAAGTTCATTCTGTAAAAAGATCTGAAAAAAACAATTGAGACTCTTAATGCATTGTGCTCTCAGATAAAAATCCTAAATATGACAGTAACAGTTAAAACTGCATATATATGTTAGAGATCAGAAGATGCTACAAAGAAATGTAAATAGTTGTGCTTCAGGAACTTTTCCATACAGTTGTTTTAATAATAAATATAAACTTAAAAATGTCTTGGTGACTGATATAAAATAGACACAGATATCAAGGATTTTATATACTTGGCGTAGGGTTTGTGAAAAAGCAACTCCACATAAACCATCTGTTATCTGGTAATCCCAACCTGGCCTAGTCTCTTACAGTCAGGCAAGAGGCTGGGGAGAAAAAAAACAGATTTTTCCTCATTATCCAGAGATAAAGCCAAGGTGAACCACTAACCAAACACATGCCTATCTTCCTTTAGGTTTCTTAGGCCAAATAAGAGAGGTCAGCCTACTTTTATGAGGTTTAAAATAACCCCACATGTTTGGTATCTGGACCCCAACCTATTCTGTAATTCAGAAGATGAATTAAATATGTCCTGTCTTCTGTGAGCCCTAGAATAAAAATGATTCCTCAATACTTTGTGCTTTATAAAAAAAAAACACACACACACAAAAAAAAACCCCTCCCACACATTAACTGTAAAACTCTTATTTCAGAAACACCATGGCAACTGTTTATAATAGAAGCCAAGGTATAATTTACATAATAATGTTGATGTCTGTAGCAAGGAAATAAATGTAATTTTATTTTTAGGCTAGTCAGTTTGCTGTTTTAGGCCTTTAACTAACTTTGAAGGACACATGAGCCTAACAATTAAATTTAAAGTGAATCAGCAAAAAGATGAGAAAATAACAAATGTTTTCATTAAAGTTATTTTATGCACAAGAGGTTTAGATATAAAAAGAATTTCCTCAAAGAATTTCCTCATTGTTACTCAGAAGCATCCTGGTGTGTGTGTGTGTGTGTGTGTGTGTGTGTGTGTGTTGTTTTATTTATAACATAATGTGCTGGAGTCCTTTGAATAAAATTATAAAGTAATTTAAAATATATATTATATATTTATAATCACTGTGAATCATTCAATAGTTTATAGCATATTAATGGAGTGAAATAGAGATAAAAGGCAGTCCACATTCATATTTTCAAGATAGATTTACTTCAGAAGTCAATCGAATTCCTTGCTCATGTTCTAAATATAGCCATTGTGATAAGACCTGAAAGAAAACAAAATGAAGAACAGTTAAAGACATGCATTTTACAAAATTTTCCATTCAATAAGCAATTGTTTAGCCCTCAATGAGCAAATAAAATATAGCACATAGGCAGGTACTCTACTAAGAGCTTTAAGTCAATTTGAATTTAGTTGTTATTATACGTTAAAAACATGCATTTTACAAAATTTTCCATTCAATAAGCAATTGTTTAGCCCTCAATGAGCAAATAAAATACAGCACATAAGCAGATACTCTACTAAGAGCTTTAAGTCAATTTGAATTTAGTTGTTATTTTACAGAAGAAATCCAATTTATAGCAAAGGGCAGTCACTGGATATATTTAGTGTCAGAACATAGCTAATTTTTAACTTCCCAGTGTATCCAATCACGTCAGCTATATAATAATAGCAAATGTGCCATTAAAGTGTCAGTAAAGCCAGAGGACTTCATCAACAAAAACTTTGTGGGCCTATTTGCACCCCAGGGCCCTAGGGCCACAAAGAGACAGAAGTGGAGTACCCCTGAAAGATTCCATACATAAAACCATAAAAAATTTAATAAAACGTTCAGTCCCAAATGAGTGGTTAAAAACCACAAATGTGGGACTGAGCAGTCAGAAAACATACCCCAAAATGTAAAGCTGAAATAAGCCTAAAGATGAACAGAAAAAATACAGAACAATGAGATGGGCAGAGATTAAAGTGAGGGAAGGGCAAGGGCAAGGGCATGGATGAGAACCAATAAGTAACCTAACCACTCTAATTAAGGATTTATGTAGGGCAGCAACTAGACAAGAGTAGCTCAGATAGATCTCAGAGCATAGAAAGTCTTAAATGCCAAACTATAGATTTATACTTCATTTTATAGACTCTGGCAAGGGTATGGAACATCCAGCCAGTAGACCATATAAGGCCCTCAAAATCATTTGGTCTGGCCCTGCCAAGGTATTAGGGTTACTTAATTAAATGTTTGACCAAATATAACAGGCTAATTTTTAAGCAGATACTTTTGTATGGCCCAAGAATCCTATATGATAAACGCCGAATGTGCTAAGTGTCTGGTCGTCCGTTTGGTCATTTAACCAATCAAAACGAAATATGCTAAGTCCATTCAACTGCTTGCTATGATGTGCACTGACCACCAGGGAACAGACAGTCAGCCAGTTGCTATGATGTGCACTGACCATTAGGGGTAGATGCTCTGAACTGCAGGTTAGAGTTGTTGCTGGGGTCTGGCAGATCAGGATTGAAAAAGATGGGCTGATCATATCCTGTAGCCCTCCCAGACCTCTCCAAGGCTAGCCAACATCCACATCCCTCCCTGGCCACGATCATGCACTGGTGGGGGTCCCTTGGCTTGACCTGTGCCCTCTTGCACTGGGCCTCTAATGATGTTATAAATATACAAATGTCCGTTGGCAGTAAAAAGGTTCGCCACTCCTGGACTATGGGGAATCATTGAAGGTTTTTGAGCAGGGAGTGTTGGTAGTGAAACCAAAACAGAATGGAAAGCAATCTGACAGCAATATAATAGATTTTTTTTTTTGGGGGGGGGGTGGAATAATGGGAAAAGACAGAAATAGGAAGAGAAGGGACATAGTCAGAAGATAGGGAGACAATTTAGAAAACAATTTTGAAATTAGGAAGAGAATGCACCAGCCTGCCTAATGTGGCTCAGTGGTTGAGCATCAACACAGGAACCAACAACTCACCAGTTCAATTCCCAGTCAGGGGACATGCCCAGGTTGTGGGCTTGATCCCCCAGTAGGGGTCATGCAGAAGGCAATCAATGACTTCCTCTTTTGTTGATGTATCTATCTCTCTTTCCCTATTCCTTCCTCTCTCTCTAAAATGCAATAAAATATATATATATATATATTTTTTTTTTAGCCGAAGCCGGTTTGGCTCAGTGCTAGAGCGTCGGTCTGTGGACTGAAAGGTCCCAGGTTCGATTCCGGTCAAGGGCATGTACATTGGTTGCGGGCACATCCCTGGTGGGGGGTGTGCAAGAGGCAGCTGGTCGATGTTTCTCTCTCATCTGCGTTTCTAGCTCTCTATGTCTCTCCCTTCCTCCTCTCTGAAATATCAATAATATATATATATATATATATATATATATATATATATATATATATATATTTATTTTTTTATTTATTATTATTTTTTTAAAACAAGAGAATGTACCAAGGAATAATGAAAAGAGTTGGCAACTTGGAGAAACCAAGATGGCAGCATAGGTAAACACCTAAATTGCTGCCTCACACAACAATTTCAAAACTACAAATAAAAGAAAAAACAGACATCATCCAGAACGACAGGAAAGCTGGTTGAGTGGAAATTCTAGAGAAAAGCACACTGAGACTCAGAGGAGCTACGGAAGTCAGAGGTACTTAGGCACATGTGTGGAGAGGGCAGGCAATTGAGTTCACGGCTGCCTTTTTCAAGCAGGAGGCAGACAAAAGCTCCCAACTGCACTGAACTCCAGTTATGGGTGAGACTCTGGGGACCCAGACTCATTCGGGGAGAAACTGGACTGTCTGGTAGCAGGCAAAACTCAAGGGCAGCTTTCTCTCAGAGGTGCTTGCAGCAATTCATGGGACACTAAGACCCAGGGGCCACTTAGGGCAGGTCTGACAGGGAAACAAATGTTCTCTGCTCTGCCCTAAGACTCTGCCCCATTCAAGCTGAGCACAGAGGCTTTTTGCAAGTCGTGTCTCATAAGGGTATCTCCAGCACAGAAGTTCTCCCAGTGTAGACACAGCTGTTCCTCACAGCCAATTGGCCTGGAGGTCAATTCCTT